TGAATATTTCAGCATTGTACCGGAACTATAGAATATAGAATACCTTTTTAGTCATAGAATTGACTTTGACCCAAACAAAAATAGCTTCAGCAAGCATACAGAGGAACTTAAATATTTCAAATACAACGACAGTTACAGTCTATTATTGTGCGTTCTTGCACCCATTACACTTGCATATGAAGAATATTTGGAGTTTTGAGGTTAATTTCGATGAAGAATCAAAGTGGCCAATGAACTTCAAATTCATTAATCACATTTTTAAGCAACTTTGAATTATTAACAAGGAGGTCTGCCTTATTGAAAGTGGTTTATTTATTTATTTAGTCATATGGTTTATCAGTCTTTCTTGTAATTATTGTAAGGTAGCAATATCATTATCGTTATTGTTCAGGGAGAACAAATCTTTTTTTTTTTTTTTTTATATACAACTTAGAATGGCAAACAAGCTGACGGCCCACCTGATGGAAAGTGGTAACCGTCGCCTATAGACATGAGCAGTACCATGGACATAACAGAGTATTCTGTTTCGCCCATGAGACCCCCATGCGTTGCCATTCCTGAGGACTCAGGTGTTATTCCTCTGTACCCAGTAAATTCACGCCATATCCCACCCTTCAAACCGAAACACAGCCATGCAAACACAACTGCTTCACGGTTGAAACACGAATGGGACAGAGGTACCCAAGCAATCGACTTTTGTACAAAGTCTCCCTCTGGTCTGCAGAATTACCCTCGTACTTATATCATGGGCAGTCTTGTATAATATGGCCAATATCTTGTGTTGGAGTACCACAATCGTAATTTTATATTGTCAAACTAAAGCAACATGATATATCTAAAAAGAGTACAAAAATAACATACTACTAACAACTTGCTGGAAATACGTGGAATACTTATCTTATTATTTGGCAACACAACTTTTGAAATTAATAGTGATAACTAGTTCACTATCCTTTATATTTCATATACTCGTAAAGGGAAGTGGAGTTAATGACCTCTCAACTTTTGAGATAAAATTAGCACTCGATACGAGTACATCAAATTATAGTCTTGCGAGTGATTGTCCACAGATTGCCCACACAATTGGAAAATAATATTCTGTTTTTTTTTTTTTTTTACTGTCGTCTATAGACGATATTATATTTTATTATATTATGTATTGACATTAAGGTAAAGGTCAGATATGGTTATGATATTACCTTATAATATATAATACAACGATAATAGCGTCGTGGCTAAGCACGTATAGCTGATACATCAAACGTTGTTGGGAGCACGTCTTGTCAACAAAATGCTTATTTTCTTTATGATTTGCTGTATATAATGGATGAAATATCTGCTCTTTTGCAAACAAAAATACCTTTTTAATAATAACGTCTATAGTATAATTAGATTACTTATTATTATGTGTAGATTTAAGATAGTGAAATATGTATATTTACATATAGCTCGTAAATATAATGTAGAAATTCATAATCTTCCTACCCTTATCCCAATTATTATTTGGGGTCGGCGTAATATATATTTTTCTTTCATTTTTCTCTCTCCGCAGTCATTTCCGCATGCACTCCCAGTCTGGTCGTATCATCTTTCACTTAGCCCATCCATGTCGTTTTAGGTCTTCCTCTACCATTATAGCTATCCATATTCATAATGAACGCCTTTCTTAAAACAAGCTCCTCATTCCTGCGCATCACGTGTCTATACTAGTACAGTCGGGTACTCTTTCACTTTTTTTAAGCTTTATTAATATAATGTATAAACTATGAATCAAGAACTGGACTAGAAGAGTTCGTGTTCTTTATCTAGTTTAAATTATGAAAATTTATTACTTTTATTGTTATTATAACTAAATATTAATAAAAATACTTTAATCCATAAAATTAAGTAAATTTCTTCGATTATTCATTTTCCCGTGTCTACATACATATGTATGAAGTTCCCAAATTATATACATATATGTATTGGATTCATCTTACAAAAGATACGTCTTTCTGTATATCTATAATCTTCTGTGGAAAAAGATTCTGTGAAATTTTTTTATGTGGAACAATTTTAACATTAACATTAAAAATTTGAGGTCAGAAGGGAAAAAAATGTTGGGACACTTGATACGACACGTCGAACTTATGAACATTATAATAGAAGGTAAGACAGAAGGACGAAGGGAAAGAGGGAGACCAAGGTGTAGTTATATCAGGCAGATCAAGAAAAAAGTTGGTGTTGTGTCGTATCAAGAGATGAAGAGACTCGCTGAAAATCGTGGTGAGTAGCAAGAGCTCCACCGACAAGAGCGCAGCTCTTAAATAGGATAGATAGATTAAAAATTAAAGAATAAAGTGTTTCACTTTTAAAATAATTTTAATAAATGTGTGTTCTTATTTAAATTACATTGGCTTTGTTTTTTTTTTTTATTATTTCATATTCTGCATTGTGACCCCGGCATAGAATGGGCAAACTCTTTCTGTCCCGTTAGTATCGTAAGAGGGGACTAAGGGAACTTAATGGTCGAGATACTGTTGTCCATACCTACCAAAGCTCAATTGCGGTTGCCAACCCGCCTGCCAAACGTAGTGACTCCTGGTAAAATGGGGGGAGAAAGAAATTGTTAGTGATGAAGTCTGATTCCTATTAATAGCAATACAGGGTGTGTCAGGTCGACCTCCACGTGGTTCCCCCTGGAAATGATCGTGATTAATTCTAGTGGAATTCGTCACGATGGGCTAACTGACTTGCTTTTTCATCGTTACCTATCATCCTTCACTGGTGGCTCGCCAGCGTATACGGATAGCGCAGGCGGGGTTACCATTCCATTATCACACATAAAAAAAAACCCGTCCTCCCCAAGGAGGAGGTCTATATTCAACAGTAGATATTTAACGGCTAATTTGACGATGATGATGATGATGAATCATTGGATATAAGGTTTCATAAAATAAAAAGTATTTGCAGGATATTCAGTTATCAATCAATACACATAATAAAATCGTAACTGGTCACTGTCTGTACAAGGAAAATATATAAGAAAAACTATTATAGGGGGGCTTTATGAATGCAACAGAATGTCTTTTTCTGTACGTTTGTGCGCGCTAATCTCAAAAAAGTGTTAACCGATTTGAATGCGGTTTAGACTAGTGTATTGCGGTTAGTTCCATTTAACATATAGTGTTTACTATATTTAAATCGGTTAATAAATAAAATAGTTATATCAATATAAAAAGTCACATATAAAATGCTATAAAATACCGATTAATTGGCTGAAACTTTATAGAAGTATTAGGTACGTAATTATATATAAGACCGGGGAAATGGCTAGTTATAAATATTATCTATTATTTTGATACTTTAGATATTGTATTCATATAATACTAGTTTTAACCGGCAACTTCGCTCGCATCACTGGGATATGTTGATTGATCGGAGAAATTAATAATATGTATCACAAATACAACGTGTGTGTCAAATTTCATGATAATTAGTTGAGCCGTTAAAGTACCGAGAGACAAGGAACAAACTTATTCTTGTTGTTATTTTTATATCTACGAGTATAATATTAGTAAAGATTTGAAATGAAAATGACGACTGCAGCGACATCCATCACTATTTTTAAACGATCCGTATCACTTATACGGAAACATGGAACTTTCTTTAGTAAAAGTCAGCTTTCATAAATCCCTTGTGAAAATAAATGGGACCAATACCTTTTCTAAGTACGAAGCGGATTTTATCTATCGTCCCGACCAAAGCACCGGAGAATCTAAACGTTTCAGTTTTATCCTGAGCCATGGAACTTAAATCCTTTGCTTGATATACGACTTATGATTTTTTATAATAGAAAGTTTATATATTATACACAATACATAAGATCCTGCTTGCGACATTGCGCTATTACAAAAGCACTAAGAACTTTCTAGTTAAAATGGAAACAGAGTGCATAATTTTATTAAGTAAAACGCTTTTTCAACAGATGGCGTTGTGTAATTTGTTTGGTTTGCAAGTGTATTTTATGAAACCAATACTAGTATGAAAAGTTTTAAAAGCAAATAAGTACATTTTACTATGCAAAAAAAAGGCCCTTAAAGGCCACAAAATAGTGAATGAGTGGAATAGCTTTGTAGACGAGATATTTTATAACATTGAAAGTATTTAGAGCACGACATTTTGTATCTGTTAGATCTTGCTTGCAATAAACAGCTTTAATAGTTACAAAATTAAAATGGGACCAACCTGGGAGTAATATATTTTAAATAAACTGTTGGGACTTAACAATCCCGCCGTGACTACAACACGGTGCATTCCACGTTGAAACATCGGCAATAAAAAATGTATATAATCAGATATGTAGGTACAACTTACCTACAATCGTATTAAATCTCGATAGTGTATTTTTTTTAATAGACGATAGTGGAATGGTAATCTCGCTTGCGCTAGCAGTATATACTGGCGGGACAGCAATGAAGATGATAGGTGAGGATGAAGCAGGTCAGTCGACCCACTGTGAAGAATCTAATAATAAATTAATCACGATAGTTCCTAGGAGGAACCACGAGGTGGTGGACCTGACAAGATATATTGTAAGCCATGATAGTGTATTTAAATAATGTTTTTACAACATGATAATTAAAAAATGTTGGGATTACACTTTTAGATTGTAAAAGGTATTAATAAAATCGGTTTAGAATTAATGAATTAAATTCTCCTTCTGGATAATGTTTAATATGATTTTCGAAATGAATTATTTCTATAATGTTGTATGAGAACATTACAGAATTATGACATATATAATGCTTATATATTACCATTCCTGATGAGTTCAGTATAATACTTTTATTCCTTTAACATCAGTTTATTCCAAAATTAATTATTTTTTAATAATATGTTATTTATGTTTTCGACTGCAACTTTAACCAAAAATAATGTACAAGAAATTGGCTATTTCCGTTGCATACATTCTTTGTAAAAGGTTTTGAAATGAAATAGTATAATTATGAAATATTTAATGTTTGTATACACGACAATACAATGATAAGTACGAGTTTATAAGTACATAAAAAAGTACACTGAATATTATAGTTTTATTACTGGCAGATAAATTATGTCTACTTATAAGGTATAATGAGATAAATTTATATTAGTCAGATATTATATTTCGTAGTTACGGTATACTTATCTATATAAAGATTGCTTGTTAATGATACAGCTTTTATACGTCTAAAATAGCGTACCTGTCAAAAGTTACCAGTTATATAACGTTTAACCAAAAAATATGTATCATTCAATCATTTAATCAATCAATTATTTTAATTGCTGAAAATAAATGTTACAAAGATAACCTTTTTATAATTTATTAATATATATAAATAAAAATAAATGTATTATTAAAAAAAAAACATTACATTTATTAGTGACATAAATCTATCAAAGTTAAAATTACCAAGTATAATAGAGTAACAAATTAATATAATTACTAAACGCTAATATTTCTTTTTTTAATCAGTTTTAAAAAGAAATAAACAGTAAATTTTAGTGTCAAATTTATATTAAAGTATATTTGAGCACGCAAATGACAATTTGTATAATTAAAATACCCATAGCTACTATATTAAATATATCTTTGATGTCATTAAATTTATGTGGTAATGCTATAAGAATAGGATGGTAATACATACTACTATTACTTCAATTTAAGAAGTTTCTATTTCAATATTATTTCTATAAACAATTCCTTTTGGCCACTTAATAAAATACATATTAAGACATTTATAATCAGACCGGGTTCACGATACGTTTTAATACTTATTTATCTATGACTAGAAGTACTTAAGCTTAGTTAAATCTACATTATAATAAATTACTAAAACAAACTTTTAGTACGATAATGATACAATCTCAGAAGAATTATTATGCAGTCTGGGTATAATGTAAAGACATTCATTGATATTTGAGAAGTGTTTTATTTAGAACTGCACGTACTATGTGCGTTCTGCAATTCGATATCCTAAAATTTGACAATTATTTCTTTAAATGTGATATAAATATTGACAGATGTTTTGGCAGCCAAAAACGCCACATGCGGTGACACTATTTTAATATTTTGTTTTTATTATATTGTAGAATCCTAAATCAAAATCCAGCCAAAATGTCTATCTACGTCAAGTCTCATAAGTCTTATGAGGCAGCCAAAAAGGTTGTGGAAAGCTATTCTTTCTATCCAATTGCCTCTCCTGTCTGCTATCCTTATTCTTGCTTAATTCAATTGTATAATTCGTCTAGTGCGTACATACCAACTTGTACCCATTCATCTATTCCCAAGAATTGGAATATGGTTATCTGTACATTATATGCTAATCTAGGTTTTCCCCGGTGACTACAGTTTTTGATTTTTTACATTTATATCTATTTCATTATTTTCTTAGATTATATAGATGGAATATCGAGCCTCAAAAATGGATCAACGTTTTGTCAGCTAATTGTCAAATAAGCTGACTCCTTTTTTCTATCAGTATTCTATATATTTACTTATAAAATGTATAATAAAATTAGTATTTACGTATTAAAAATTCCCAGAATTTATAAAATAAAATAATTATAGAAGTTTTAGGGAGTCAAGCATAACTATTTATCACGCAAATTTGTATAAAAAAGTTGACTCTATTTACTCGAATTTTTCTATGGAGACACTCTATCTATATAATCTAAAGTTATTTCATTACTATTTTCAAGCGTTCGAATTATTGCAATATGTCCTTTCTTATGTTTACACAATTTGTTTTCTATTGCCTAGTAGATCTATTGTGGTTTACTAGGCTTACAAAGCAATTTAGAGTACGAGTAAGCTAACTAGAAGTAATTTTTGGCTTCAATGGTAAATTCAAAATTGCTAATTGTATTTTAACTATTAATTAGTTCGGGACAATTTAATTCATAACATTAGTTGTCATTTGACAATTTATTCGTCTTTATGTAGAAAGTATTTATGTTATTGTAGCTTATAAAGTAACAACTTAGAATTCTAATATATCTATAGTATATCTAAAGCGTAGTACATATACTCAAATTTGTAATCATGTTATGACACTATTTAGCATATGACAGTTGTCATATTTAAACTAATATAAATAATATGTATTATATGTATCAGTATCAATATTATATTGATTGCAAACTTATGAACTTTTTATATCAAGAGCATTCAGACAAAAATGTGTCTACTTTTTTCAATACTCCTAAATGATTATTTAAATGATCATAAATAAGTTTTAAAATAATCACAGACATAAGTCTATAACTAAATATTTAATTACTACTTTATATTTTGTTTTTAAAATCTATCAATACTTTTTTACGATCATATATAAAAAATTCGGTTAATAAAAATGTATCTTTTTTATGAATATAAATAATTTACTTTTATAGCACTAAATTATCTTTAAAATTATAAAATCATTAATTTCCGTAAAATGATAGAAAATTTAAATACTATCGTATAAATGATGGATTATGAAGCATATCCATAATTAACCTATAACGCCATTGAATATTCTAATAAATTTATGATATAAAAATTACATGCAACTTGTCTTACTTTTAATCTTACTATATTTTAATATTAATTTACATTATATTTTTTAGAGTTCCGTACCAATAAGAAGAAATGAACTTATACAAAGACACTAATTATGTCTATCCGTCTTTTCTATTACACAATGATATAGTTACAACAGTTTTTGAGAAAATCGTTTACAAATAATTTAGATTATACAATCTGATTTTTATTCAATTTAAGGAATCATCTTACATTAATAACCATATTAATATGGTTATAGGTTTAAACTCTTTATAATTACGAGCCAGTTTTTTATCTCTTTAATTAAAATTTGGCATACCTACGTGTAGCAATCGAATTGTTAAAGAAAGTAACATATTTTTTTTTGTATTTTACTCACGAGTAAAGTTTTGGCCACAGCTAGATATTATATATAGAAAACAAAAACTTCTTTACATTATTCCGTACGGAACCCTAAGTGTACTTGTCTGTTTGCTACTCGACTTATTTTTTACTCTAATCATTCTCTTTCTTATCGTAAATCAAATCGACTAATTTAAAAGTTATTTTATATAAAAAATGGGACGCAAATAAATGATAATTGTATTTTAGACAATTTTTAACTAATTTTTAGTTTAAAATTTTAAATATTTTCGATATCATGATATTAAAATTATTTAATAATAACAAAGAGTAAACATCTATCGAAGACTTGTTATTACTTTACTACCCTATTCTGTTTCAAATAAAATAAAACATAAAAGTGAAGAGCTCTTTTTGTATCACGAGCAATTAAATTTTTTTCTTAATTTCTCTAAATAATAGTTTTAATTTTTTTTTTCACGAAATATAATTAGAATAAAAACAGATGATGGCATGAAATATCTACGAGTATGTAGCTGTTATAGTCTTTATCCACCCATCATCACCAGTTCAACCTACTCATCTACTTCTGAACACGAGTTCATATTTCATCACAAACGTTCAAATAAAAAGAAGTTTTTTAGTTGCTGTTGTTTTCCATAGGCATCTAAACTAACTATGTTTATGATATTGGTGTTTATAGTTGATAGAGATCCACAGCGTTGTTAGGCGGTTTCGATATGGACGAGCGGCGTACATTGGCACCGCCGCCCTTCTCTGAGGATCAGACGTGCGTGAAGCTAGCGTGGACAGCATCCTCTTGGGAGATTTGAGTGCCAGCAGTGAAATACTGAAAATTACAAACATAACATTATTTAAAACATGTTTTGTTAGCTTTTTGCTATCTCTTGTAAATTTCTTTCTAAGAGCATGATTTTGCCTCAAAAGAAACCTTATTTGTGACTTTAAATACAATTTCTAACTGTTTCGACTATATGTTGATAATTAGTTACTCCTGAAATCAAACCAGATATTTTTTTTTACTTTACACATTTCTTTACGATTTAAATTTATATATTTTATATATTTATAAATTTAAATTTAAAGAATCCCTTATCTCTTCATTTATTTATAATAATGTTATAATAAATTGATATAGTCTAATTAAATAAGTCTGACAAATAAACTGAACTCATCTAGAAAGATTTGGTTCCCATAATAGAGCCATTAATTTATTGGTGTCATAAAAATATGCGTATTTTTTTAAGGCAAATAAGTTGACGGTCCACCTGATGGAAAGTGGTAACGGTCGCCTATAGACATGAGCAGTACCATGGACATTACAGAGTATACTATTTCGCCCATGATACCTCCCATGCGTGGCCATTCTTGAGGACTCAGGTGTTATACCTCTGTATCCTGTATATTTACTGCCATATCCCATTCTTCAAACCGAAATACAGCGATGCAAACATTATTGCTTCACGGTAGAAACACGAATGAGACAGAGGTGCCCAATCAAACAACTTTTGTACAAAGTCTTCCTCTGGTATATTTTTTCATTATAGTTTAATTCTCAGATGAGTTTAGCTATATTTTTAATTTTTTTATCATATTTATACTTATTTTGAAGTATTAAGGAATATTGCCTTTTTTCATCAAATCAAATTGGAATAAAGTTTTCTATTTTAACAATTAAATGCTTTTGCTTCAACGTTAAACCTTGTTTTCATATTTTGTATAATTATAGGTACACGCAGGGGATTGACGGCACATTCAAACTACACATACAAACTTCACAAGGGGATATTTGTTGAATAATTTTTCATAGATTTTGATGTTTTATTATTAGAGCAAAAAAAGGCAAGACATAATTTACAATATATATAATAAAAAAATAAATAAACACGAAACATCATGACGCAATAATATGTATACAAATAAAAGGTTAAAAAATTAAAATATTTTTATTATGCGTCGATTATGTGTAAAATGGTACGATCAAGGGAAATAATTTTAGGTACATTGCAACTTACTTCCTAATACGTATTGTCTAATATATCTTGCGGTGAACATGTCCCAACATTTCCCTTCCAAGGAGGAAGTCATTATACTAAAGATGAAATAAAAATTAATGTTATTATACTTTTTTATAAAACCTTGGCCTGTGTATTTTGGATTAAGGTTCGAAATTTAAAGTACCTACAGATGACACGTAGAGCCGATTAGCAGGGTTCCTCCTAATTGGCATGTCAAAAGGCAAGTTAAGCTGTCGGCTTCATGTAAAGAGAAATTTCCCCCATTGATCGGCTCTACTGAGCGTGTAGATTATAATCAACTTTACATTGTATTAAAAGTATATAAATATTAAATTGTCTTTTTGTCTTTATGTTTATATTCACTTAGGTATATAACCTATTAACATGTTTTAATAATTTAAAAAATAATAATAAAAAAATATGGTCCATTTATTGAGACATGGAATCATAGCATGACGATCTGTTTGATAATCCGTATTATTTTCTTAACTTTTATTGTTATAGTTCAAAATGACAGTTGAATAAATGTTACTGACCCCAGCAAAAGCTGCTCCGTTCCAACCCAGACGGTCATGGTCACGCTGCGGTGTGTGATTCGGTGGAGCTTTTCTATCAGAGCGAGAGGCTAACCGAGCCTTAGCACGCAATGCAGCGCGGAGCGGCACATTGGCACGGGCCGCCTCAGCTCGTCCATGTTGGCAAAATTCAAGAAGCGCCACTGTTAACGCCAGTGCTAGCCCGCCAACTAGCACATAGAATATCCCCGCTACTTGGCTTAACGTCATCTCTGTGATTGTAGTCTCCTGAAAGATGTTAAGCATATATCTTTAAAATTAATGAACATTACTAATCATATTAAAACAATAATAAACATTCCAAATCGAGCAGTTGGATCATAAAAGATGACGATTTAAAAAAGCTTGTAAACAAATCTGTTAGAATAAAGATTATTCTGATTATTAACCGACTTCAAAAAAGGCGGTTTTATCTTACACTGTATATTTTTTTTATGTATGTCCACAGATTCCTCGATAATTGCAGACTGATTATAAAAATTCTTTTTTTTTTTATTCGAAAGAGTATACTCCGGTGGCTTCATTGTTCCCAAGTCAGGTTCTGATGAAGGGCTCCCCGGGTAAATCGAGGACTACCCTCGAATTTTTAGACACTAATATGCTATTTCATATTTTTTCAAATTTTATTCAGACATTTGCATCTGATAATCATGATCTTAACTTGTTGAGCTTACGGACTACAAGCACGTAGAGTCCGTCATCTAATTTTAAACATTTATTTTTTTGTTTCATATTGTTTATTCCTCGTTTTAAAAATTGTATATAAATATATTTACCATATTATATAAATAAAATTATATTCGTGATCAGAAAGGGAGATTATAATAAGATTTGCTTTGATGAAATCTCCAAAAATAATCTATTTTTATTTGAATCTTTACATTTACCAACTCAAATTGGTATCTCCTAAAAGATAAACCTGGTAAAGCCTAAGATTTAACAATGCACGAGTTTTTACAGTTACACTCACAAACACGCACATGCATATATATATATATATATATATATATATATATATATATATATATATATATATATATATATATATATATTCGAATTTAACCCGGCTGGACAGTGTTCTGAAAACTACGCTGTACCTTCTCACCTAAAATACCTCAAAGTTTGAAGACAAAGGTCTTCAAGCAGTGCGTGTTGGCAGTGGAACCCAAACATTATTCTGTGGGAAAAGGGTTTAATTTCAATGGGGTGGTTAGTCTCCATTGCCATTAATATAACCTATCAGGTTGATCTCCACGCGGTTCTCCCTGGAAACCATTGTGATTAATTTATAGTTGAATTCGTCACGGTGGGCTATCTGACCAGCCTTTTATCCTCACTTATCATCCCTCACTGGTGCCTCGCCAGTGTAGGTATATCAATAGCAGAGGCGGAGTTATCATTTCATTATCATTCATTAAAAAAACATTGTCCTACACAGTTACCCACATAAAAAAGCTTTAAATTACTCAGCGAGTTTTGGAGAGGGTTATGCTCGGAGTATGTTTGTGTGATTGAATTTGAAATGAAAATATACGCAAAAGAGCCCATGTGACCAACATAGCCCGAAGGTTCAGCAAATTGAAATAGCAATGGGTTGGTCTCATAGCTCAAAGAACTGACAATCGATAGATAAGAAAATTTTTGACTAAGGGTTTTATTAGTCCCGTTTGTTCTTCTGCAGACATCCTCCTTTTAGATTCTATCACACAAATACATTCCGAGCATAGCCCTCTCTTTCTCCTCACACTTCGCTGAGTAATTTAAAACTTTTGTATTACATACGGGCAACCGTATAGTTCCATATTTTAGTTCCAGAAACATCACGCACTTGACCTTAAAGACCTTCGTCTTCAGACTTTTAGGTATTTTGTATAAATAACTACAACACGATAATTAATTTTAAAATATATACTTCTTTTACCTCATCTTTGATATCACACTCGGGTTTCTTCGCATTCAACCATTTCCGCCAAAGCTTTCCTATAACACCGTCTTTCTTCAAATCTACTATGGCCAAATTTATTCCTTCTCTGAAAAAAATATATTAATTTTTTAAACTCAAAACATATGTGATTGTATATTTATATACATGATGCATAGTCATAAAATAATTTGTATTAATAAAAATATTCAGGTGTATGTCTGTTTTAATTAATCTTAATGATGAAATTTTATTGAAGTTATCACAGAAACAATTTCTAAAGGAAATTAGTAAGAAATTAAAAATATTTTAATCAATTGATCAATTTTAAAAATCATACTACTATTGGTCATTAAAAGACTGTTATAAAGTCAGGTCAATTATTTTGTTTACATTTTCGTTAAGTTCTATTAAAATAGAATAATAAAGATTTCTTTTTTTTTTAAGAACGTTTAACGATTTTGGATGGTTCGTTTTAATCCATCAGTCTAAGCACTGCGAGGTGTTTGAAATAGATTTCTAATTTTTCTGTAATTTTTTGTGTATATTGCTTTATATATTTATCAAATATTGCAGATTTTATAAATTCGTTATAATATTTCATATGGCAAACTAGTTTCATATAACAAAATATTAAACAATATTATAATACTTTGCGGCGTCTCCTGCACTGGTTTACAACTAACAATCTTATGTTAAACGCTAAAAAAACAAAATGTGTTAATTTCTCTCTGTCTAAAAGTTTTAATACTAATTGCAATATTAAATTAAATGACGAATCTCTCGAATTTATAGAATCTACTGTCTTTCTAGGAATCACACTAGATAATAAAACACAATGGGGTGCACAAATTCAAAGCCTTGCAGCGAAACTAAGTTCAGCAGCTTTTGCCGTGCGTAAAGTTAGACAGTACACTGATACTGATACTGCTAGATTAGTCTATTTTAGTTATTTTCATAGTTTACTCTCTTATGGAATATTACTATGGGGAAAAGCGGCAGATATTAAGAATATATTCATATTACAAAAACGTGCCGTTCGAGCGATCTACTGTATGAAGAGTCGTGACTCATTAAGAGAGAAATTCAAAGAGGCAAATATTCTCACCGTTGCTTCTCAATTTATATATTCAAATATCCTATATGTTCATAAAAATCTTGACTTATTTCCAAAAAACAGCAATATTCATAATATTAATACTAGATTTAAAGACAAACTTGCTGTCCCCAAGTATCGTTTAGAAAAAGTTAATAGGTCTTTTATAGGAATAGGTATAAAAATTTACAATAAGATACCAAAGGATATGTTGGAATTACCCTTAAATAAATTCAAAACATCTGTTAAATCATATTTACTGAGCAAAGCCTATTACTCACTAAACGATTACTTGAATGACGAGTGTGCATGGCAATAGTTGTTCATGCACTGAATTTTCATTTAATGTTAGACATAGACACCTATATAATATACATTGTAAATAAACTGGCTTTAAAAAAAAAGTAATTCAATTGAGTTTCTTGCCAGTTCTTCTCAATTGGATCTATATACCGAACTGGACGGTAGGGAAAAAAATAAAATTATAATGTAAAAATTTGACGTTCATAAGCGGCTAAAATGTCCTACATGAATAAATGATTTTTGAATTTTTGAATTTTTGAATTTTTATAAAAATAAAATGAAACAAAAGATTAAAAAATGCAAACAAATTGCTTTTATTTGTGTATTTAATGAAAATTGTAAATCTTACAAAGACAGCGGAGGTTACATTGTTACTGGTGTACCCAATGTGGTTATACCAGTAACGAAATAACCCGGGCTGTCTTATAAATTTCACAACAAATTTAATTACAAAGAAAATGTAGGAGGGATAGAAACAAATAAGTAGAGTGACTTCCTTATAAAGCTAATTGATTGACAGCAAAAATGAATTGAATGAAGCTAGTGAAGCCATATAAAGTAGATGGTTTATTAAATGAATTGTTATTGGCGTCATAGTATAAATGTAAGAGGCATTTAGGATCATCTTTCTTATGCACTGTTACCATATGGCCCCGGTATAGAATAAGAAACCCTTTTTTTTCCGGTAGATGTCATAAGAGGCGACTAAGGTACTAGGTAGGCAAAATAGCGTCCCTCTTAAAACATCTCTAAAAGTCTAACTGCGTTATCAAGTCGCCTGCCAAGTATGGCAACTACTGGCAAACCTCCACTTATGGGGAAGACTTATGTTCAGCAATGGATAGTTAACGGCTAAAATTAATCTTATATAAAGATGAAATTTCAAAACCAGCCACGTATATAGAGTACTTTATTAAAGACCGTGGAATTAACTATAAGTATTTTAAATAATATTATAATATAATCGATAATTGACCGTGTGGCCCCCGCATAGTATAGATCAAGCCTTCCATTCTCGTGGGTGACGTAAGAGGTGAAGGATAGCCAACAGTGTCCTTCTTAGAACTTCTCTAAACCCTGACTGCGGTTGCTAATCCGCCTGCTAAGCGTGGCAACTACTGGACAAACCTCCAAAGGGGGAGGCTTATGTTCAGCAGTGGATAGTTCAGGGCTGATATGATGATGAAAATCGATAATAAAATGTCGATATTAGTTTATATTACAAATTTAGATGGAAGCGAATCCCAATAATAAGCAACGCAATACGAGACTAACTATTTATTAAAAAGAGAGTGCTACAATAATCTTAAAATATCAAAGTGCTGTCGATACATTATATATCAGATATAAACTTACTTATATATCTCTATTACTTATAAAAAAAAATATACAATTAAATAGAAATGAATAAATGAAAAAATGCTCTCAACTTATTAAAAACTTTAGCAACATTTACGAGTTTAGATGTCAAACTAATAATTTTAGTACTTATTAAACAAAACTAAGAAAAAAATAAAATCCAATCTACTTTTACATTTCAAACTAGTTGACCCAACAGACGTCGTGTTCAAATTTCAATGTGACCTCTTTACTTTGAGGTTGATAGTGTTTTGATCCCTTTACCATATTACTTTGTTGGCATTGGAATCAACCAATAAAATCTCTGCGGGGCACTTTATCCTCGTATATATTACAGAAACATATGCGACCTCTTTTCTACGTTGTGATGTAATTAAAAAGAAAACTTGGAAAAAATAACGAATACAAAAATCAACTGAATTGTGTCGTTATTATCATCATTTATAATTGAGAGTGTATACAAAAAATTGTCTTTTCCCTACTTTCTGGATAACTTTTCCAATTTTTCTTTTCGTAAAAATCTTAATTGGACTATTGCAAACATTTAAAAAATTGTGAAATTATCGTTGACAAATATTTAAATATTATTTATATAGATTTGGTAGTAAAAAGTCTAATTAATACAGTCTGTATAACTTCTTACAAGTTAAAATATTGTATATCTTGAAAATTCGTATTAAAAACAAATACTGCCGATGTTTTCTCTAGAGACTTTTTTAAATGAGTGTCTTTAAAATGGTTTTTTCACTTGATAGTTCTGATACTGTAGGCCAGGATAACTGTTAACTATGCATATTTGCCACTATTGTGGTATAAAAAACAAACTGTAAAATTTTTACCAATACACAATTCTACAAGGAAAAGTGAACATTTCATTTCAGCAATTAAACTTAGAACACTCGACTCTCCGGTGTTATTGTGAATGTTTTTTCGTGGTAAAGGCTTGATTGGATACGGTCGAACGTATGTTTTAAGCCAGTTAACGGAACCAATTCGAATTGTAGAACCGGAGTAGAGACGACGATTTAAATTGGGGATTTGGAAGTTACAATTATTACGTTGAATCTATGTTGTAAAGACGAAAAGTAACAAGAACATACAAATGATGGAAAAAGAGTAGAATAGAGAGAGAGAGAGAGAGAAAATAGTAAAGAACAATTCAACAACGAAAGAAATTTAAAATTATTATTCTTTTAAATAATATTTTATTAATATTAAATAAAGAATAATAAACATTATAAGAATCAAATTATTCTTATTTTAGTATATTCTAGAATTATAATACTAAATTGTTGCATTTTCAATACGCATATAATTTATTTCGTAGGTAATATTCTGAAATCTGCACAGATTGCTTGACATTAGACTTAATTCTGTGACGGAACTGGATTATATCGTTAAATTTTGTAGCGATATCATCGGCGTCGTAAAACCACGTCCGCATCATATAAAATGTAAATTTTTAACTTGTTGTCAAAAATCACGTACATACGTAGGTACTAGTGGGTACCATAAAAATGGGGTGATATAAATTCGAAACGTAGAGCGCCGACTTTCCTGACGGGGCCCATGTAAATTTACGACTTTTCAGTATTCAGCTGGGAATTACCGCATAGAGCGAGATTTCAGCTTGATAGTGGGAGCTGTATAGTGAGAATTTACGTTGGAGTTCATCCTCCGGTATACCTACGTATTACGTCGTGCTCCGCTCTTTTATTTTCAGTCCCGCCCCGTAATAATGGACGCCCGCTAACCGCCGAGCCATTCTATTTTGACTTACCCTTAAGATACCATTAAATGAACAGCTATGGATTGGTTTCCGAGCGGATATTGGTATTTTAGTTCAATTGAGTGACTTATGAGATTTAACGTAGCTATAAAAGTATGAATTTAAATACATTTATAATATGAATTAAATGAATAATGGCTTTTAATAACAATACAATATTTTTAGTATCGTTATATTAACATACATAGACATGAGTAGTCAGGATGAAATAAATTAAGTATAGCTGGCTTTCTATTTATTTCAATTATATGTTTAAATATTTTTTATATCATACAAGCATACAGCCCGTTCGATGGTAAACAATTACTGTAGCCTATGGACTAATTATTTGGACATCCATAGGCTACAGTGATAAATAATACTTTATTACATGCGTATTATTGATCCTGAAGAAATCTTAATACGCCATTTTAAAGAATCACATATATCCTAAGGGAAAACTTCGACAGGAAGCTAATTCTAATTAAGAAACTTTTCTGATACCGCACTATATACAACTATTCGGTTTTTAGCATGTCATGATAAATTTTCTGACAATGGTGAACAGTGCGATAATAGGTGACGATGAGCATCATTGAAAATAATCCTTAGAATACAATCCATTATACAAGCGGTAGAACATACAAAAGGAAGCAAAACCTCACGACTTGATACCGTCTGTGAACTTGAGATGCTTTTTATAAAAATCATTTTAATGAAATGAAAAAAAGTTTTATATTTTCATATTAAATCATTATATAATTCAATAAGAAAATTATAGTACTTGTAAAAATAATAAATATGCGTCAAGCGTTTTTATTTAAATTAATTGTGAATACCCCTTTTTAAAATGATGATAACAAAAGCTTATAATAATATTTAAAATTAAGACACTTGGTATCCTTTGGGAAATCTAGGCCATTAGTATTAAAACCCGTAAATTATCCCTAAAATACGGGATTCGAAAGGGCTCCCAAAAGACTATAAAAGGTGGGCACTTTTCTTTAACCGTCCCTTTGTTAAGGTCGAATAAAAAGGAAAACCTCGTTACGATGCTTGTCAAAAAAGTTTAATAGCATATAATAACCATTTATTTGGTACACTCATTGAAATTACATTTTAATATTACTAAGTAGATTTTTTTATAACCTAGCGCTAGTCTTTATAACTATTAATCGAATTTGAAAAATTCTTTCTTCATTTAATAGCTTATATTTGAGAAAGGTTAAAAACTATTCAAAATTACGATACTGTCATGGATAAAATCACTGTATACAGATAGTTACCAATAAATATTATTAACAGAAAAGTTAAAATTTTAAAAATAATTGATTTCTTGAAATATTTTATGAAAATGTGAACGTGAAATAAATGGACGTATTTTGATTTATAATCTAAGTACGCTAAATTGACTACGTATTGGAAATATGCAGTATTAAAAAAAAGCAATTGCAGGCTCTAATAGTAAATATTTATTATCAAAGTGGTACGTAGTGCGAATCGGTAGTTACGAGCAATATAGTTGGTTCACTGGTCAAAGCATGCATGACGTCATCGTTTGCACCGCCAGCAGTATTGAATAACTAGTATTCATAATTTTTTGTATATAACGGCATATTTTCTAAAAACAAATATGTAGGTAAGCATAGTAACTGTTTGTTTATTTTCAAGACAGAGTATGAGCATAACCGCGCACTGTATAGACAAGATGTCCTTGTCTATAAGCTTATAAATTTTACTTGTAAAACGCTCTTATTTATAAAATTTCCCTAATTTATTAAATGTAAACTATACGAGTCCCAGTTTAATTAGGTATGTTTTTTAGATGTAAATATATTTTTGAGGTTATCCTCAAAAATATAAGTATAAATAGTGCATTTCTAAAATAACAATGGAAGCTTTAATCATAACCAAATATATTGCTGGATCAAATTATATTATATATTTGTATTTGTAACTTATACTAAAATAAATATACTTTTATTTTATTTGTAATAGTCATATAAGAGGATCAACAATAGTTTTTGAGAACATCCTTACCTCAATGGAGACCCTTTCGGCGTCGCAATAGCAAGTTCGGTATGTTTATATTTGCAAACTCTGGAGATTGTATTACATGTCATTTCAGGTCCTTTCTCCATAGAGTAGTAGGCGATAGAACCATCATTGGATACTGTGTCCTTCACTGGATAATTGGATGGTATATACGAGCTCTAAAATAAAATTAATCATTACAAAAAGTACTAACAATAAGAAATTTATTTTAAAAGAATTTAGTGTAAAAACATCAAGCTTTTAAGTAGTTTGGACTGCGCATTGACACGCACACATCTTTTCTACATTAATATACTTTGATATTTATTAGTATAAATAAAATTTATAATTTCTTGTATATTTGGTAGTAACTAGGTCTCTCGACTCACACGATTTGAGAGTGGTTGTCACTATAAAACGATACACAGTTCTGTAGATCATACAATAATTTCCTTGTTAAAACACAATTCGTATTTTATATTATTTATATATAAAAAGCAGTGAGAGCTCAATGGCACCATGCTTGACTACGGTTAGGAGTAGCTAAGAACGAATCTCTGTCTAAACCTTTGCATTTCCCAAATTTACATTCTTTAACGGGCGATAAAAAAATTGTAATCCGGTATAGTACCGATGAAAGCCCATCGTAGCAAATTCTAGAATTTATCAAGAATTCCAGGAGGAATAACGTGGAGGTCGACCTGATGGAGTATATTGCTAGGGGTAGGGGCTGGGGTTGTTAGATCCCCATTATTAATAAACCCTTTACCCTTTAAAATTCATGTTTAAATTATTTAAAAATGATCGTCACTTGCTTCGTACTTTAGAGGGCTCGTAACGCGGTCATCCAGTTAGCTGTGTGAGACGTTTCAGTGCATAACGCAGGTGGCCTAAATAGAAACTTTTGATAGACTAGATAGACCAGAGACTACCATACTTACACGAAAACACTTGTTGGTCAACCGATTTTTTATATACATATTTGTATTACAACTATTTATGTCGGTTTTACTTGCGTTTTAAATTCGCCCCATTAATCGAATCGAAATCGAACACGGCATGCTAGCCGCTATGTTGTTCGTAACACAGCCGTGAACCAAACTAATGAATAAGGGTTCATGTCTAGTTCGAAACTATTCTGGCATATCCGAATTTAAAACATGAATAAAGCCGATATAAATAATTATAATATAGCACGACTTACGATAATTATTACACATATTTATATTTTTATATTATTCTTTTTCATTTTCTTTTAAATATATGTTTTATTTATTTATTTAAACTTCAATGCACATTTATATAAGTAAGTATACATATCAAAGACATAACATCCAATAGCGTTCTCTACTAGTCAACAATGAGGCGACCACAAAATTAAGTAGGCAATAAGTATGTAAAATATACAATTATAATTCTAATGATGATAAATTAGAACAACAGTTCAAAGAAAAAAGGCAGGAAAATACCTATGACTAAAGTAAAAAGTACAATTTAAAAGCAAAAGAAAGGAATAAAAAGAGAAATGAAAGTAAATAAAAAAAATGTTTTTGACACCTATTTTTGTTAGTTCAAATACTTATCTGGCATATCGTTTATTGGCCCACCAGTCACAGTAGTGTTGTTCATATAACAGTTATTAGGACTGTCGGATGTTCCAGGAATGTTTTATATAGGTAAGTCTTTTCTAATTTATCGGACAGGAGATTATTAATTATCTACATCTCAAGCGTTTCTGTTCGCTGTATTTGCGTCTTAATACTCATCAACACTTTGAGTAGGTATTTAAATTCTATTATAATACTCAACAGAATATTCACGAACAAATCTTTTGTAATTTCGCAAACGAATCTTTTTTTTTATTCAGAGTATTCAAATTCGATATTCGATTCGATAAAATTTTCATTTTGGCACGAAATTATTACGACAAAGTTAAGCTGTAGGGCTGCGGTACTTTGATAGAAATTTAAAAATTAAACAAGTAGACGTGCCCATTTCGAAAAAAAAACTAAATGTTACAGTTCACAAGTCCCACCACCGACCAGTAGAGTATTTATTTCATAATTATTTATTCATAATTAGGTTATTTGTCACTGTATAAAGTAACCTTTGTAACAGTAAAATTCTGGGTTAACTTTCGATTTTAAGAATAATATGGCGTTTAATTTTCTCTATATTGAAAATTAGTTTTTTCGCTGCTACTTCATACAAATAGACTTTAAAAGTATGAAAATCAAAGAAATAGATTGATTTTATGTTACACCTTCAGAAATACGACTGTCAACACGGCACCCAACTTGCTGTATTAGTTTTTGCGAGATGTTGGAACAAATGCAATATTTAGACAAAATTTCTAAAAATCATTGTTTTGTTATCTATTGGCTTTATAAAGACCTATATATTAATCATCATCATCATTATCATTTCAGCCATTATCCGTCCATTGCTGGACATAGGCCTCACCCATCATATTATTTGTTTCTAAATAACTCTACTTACAATTTTATTATATGAGCCATTCAAAATTAAGAGGAAATTCGTTGTATGAAGTGGCGACACGGCTTTTTTTATTTTGACTTTACTTTTTTTTAGTATACTTTTTTTATTGAAACTGCTAAGTTGAAAACATTAACCAAGTGGTCAATTTGTCAGTTTTACCTTATTTTGCAGGTAAATAGGGAAAATACTCAGTACAATGGAGAAAGAAGATGCACAAGGAGGCTACTTTATGAACAGGGAAAAGACTAACATATAAGGAAACAAGGTTATTTTTTACTTTAATTACGAATTATCTATAATCAGACTTTTCCTTTTTTAATAATTTTTTTTGTAAAATTAAATGTTTCTTAACTACTAGACACAAAACATTAAATAATTCTCACTTTTTATATCCATAATCAATCAGCCAATTGTTTTATGAATATACATACATATGATGTAAAATAAAAATATATATAAAAATATAAAAGTATATATAAGTATTTTATCATCAATAGGCAATAATAAAATAAAAAAGAAAACAAAAACCTCTCTTTTGAATAACTATGTTGATTTCTCAGTTTTATATTAAGGGCAAGTAGTTCTGTTATAATCTGATCCTATGTGATAAAATAAATATCGGCATCATTAATCTGAAGTTTTTTCAATTTCATCACAGACTTTACAAAATACAACTTGAATTTCAACATTTCGTTCAATACCTGTGCACATTGCAACATAACAATATTCTGTTTTCTATATTGAAGTTTATTTAGCACAAAGTCCTCATTGTATAATGTTTTATCCATATGTTGAGGGCTTTGGATCACCTTTGTGTAGTCTGGTTTTTATGCTTGTAGTAGGCACAGAAAGCTGTACTGTTTCTTAAGGCATCTTTGTGCGTTCATGAGATAAGAATTTTATTAGTTGTTCATCTTCTGAATCACTAGCTTCATATATATCATCAACACACAAACAAGATTTAGGGTATGTTTGTGCATAATCCAAAGTACCCAATTGAAAATGACATCATAACTCAGAGTCACTCAGAGTAGCTGAAACTTTTCCATGGTACTGCTCATGTCTATAGGTGACGGTTACCACTTTCCAGTAGGTGAACCGTCAGCTTGTTTGCCATTCTAAGTTGTATATAAAAAAAAGAAGTTCTGCAATGTGTAGGTCCTTCCCCAGGCAAGCGGTTTCATTTATGAATGAGAGTCCTGCTATGTCCTCCTATCTCTTTTAAGTAGTATTATAACATACGTAGCATAAATATTAGAATAATATCTTTATACTTCATTAAATATAAAAAAAAAATATAAATATTATACTTATATTGCAAAAATGAAAACTTCCATTGATTTTTAACGATTGATAAACTGAAGCTATGTAGGGCATTATTGAATAACATGCACTGACAAGTTACGATAATATAGTATATGTATATATATATATATATATATATATATATATATATATATATATATATATATATATATATATATATATATATATGTATTATTATATATATATTTATTTATTTTGTAAACCATCATGGGTATTCCAATTTATTAGTATGAATTGTACCTATTTAGATTTTAATGGCTTTGTCCTTTTACACACAAAAAATATTTGACTTGATTTACTTAAAGACGGCTAATGTGTCCTCGGAAACACGAAGTGATAATGTAGGTATATTTTTTAAATTAAATAAACCTGATAAACATTACGTAGTAGGGTAGAGACTCGAATTTGGAATTCCTAACCAAAGTCAAATATTGGTTACAGATCTCTTATATTTTTGTTATTTCAATTTATAAATAGAATACATCATAGGATGTGGAAAAATACACATTAGTATGATTGTACTGCAGTCGCTGTTGCATCGGTTCGGTTAACAAACAAGGATTATTTGTTACCTGCAGTTTGTAATATGGCATGTGTTTCTTACTTCTGAATGGGCCAAGCCTGATGGATAGCTGAGAGCCTGAGCCGGTTCTGCTATACGCTCCACTATGAGATATGCTGCCAAATTTGCCGTATAGGAGCAAACCAGGATTAATGCAAAGAACCACCAAACTGTTCCCACTATTCTTCCAGATAAAGACCTGTTTGTGTAAAAACAAAAATTTATATTAAAAATTTGATTGTTTTTACAAATTTCAACTCAAAACACTTCTAAGTCAATTAAAGTTTTATCCCCTTACTCATAAAAACAAAAACTATTACAAACCTATTTTAGTTATTGAACTGTTTTGTCACTTTCTTTGAAATTGAGAATTTAGCATAAAAGACAGAGACAAACAATTTAGATTCAGATTAGACAAATAGCTAAAATGAATTTATGAGATGTTTAACGTTCTTATGAATAAGAACGTTAATTTGGAATCGACAGCAGCTTAATTTACTTTATATTTCATTACACTATAACTACATCTATAAAAATGGAATTTTATTATTACATAAACTTTTCGCTTGTATTATTGCTACAATAAGATGCAACAAATGCTAATGAAAGTGAAATTATGTTTATGATTTTTTTAAAAGTAATGCGTTTATTCTCATTTTTTAAGTAAATAATAACATTTCAATTTTAACTTCTGTGAAATATCAAAAATTCGCTAATAATCAACGACAGTATGAAAAAATATATTTATTTCATACTGAATTACAGTAATAAATTGTATGAAAATACGTATAAAAAAATTGAAATGTGAACTAAAATTGTTGAAATTATCTGAAAATTTAATTTTAGCTAAATATAATTTGAGCAGGAAATACGGGGCGTACTCATTTTTTTTATCCAACGTTACTCCTACACGTCGCCGTCATTTTTTCCGTGAAAGGGGAAGAATATAGATAAGTAATTTTTTTAGAAGTAGTATCTCGCATCGGTAGACATAACAAGGTGATTATCGTACTTCCTTCTTACCCGGTGTTCATTTATTACGTGTATACCAGATACCCGTTTGTCCCGAGCACGCACGATTTAACACATAGAATTTAATTTACAGTTTCATATACACTATGTGATATTGACCATATTACTCAAAATTATGTCGCTTTGGTTACAGGCTTTGTAGATCTTTATTAGTGTAACTTTATTTGTGGAAATCAAGCCCTTTAATATTCTACCATAGATCATTTAGGTACCTTCAGATAGAGTATCTCAATTCTCAAGCCTAATTTAACGAGTAATGGTGTAAACTTTTTTATTACGAGTATTTTCCTTTGTTCATCATCATCATCATCATATTTATACAGAGTTTCATTTTAGTTAATTCGCTAAATAATATGTTTTATTTACACATTTTATATTCCATTATTTGAATCTAGAAACATGTACATGAAGTTTTATTTTGCAAATATGTCCATACAAACGCGCTAAAACAAAAATAAAAATTGCCAATCCTTTTTTAGTATAAGTGTTGGAATTTCCAAAAAAATGTTGAAATAACACGTTTGAAGCAAATTAGACTATTTTATTCACTTTTATACTAATGTTTCTACCCCTTTCTCCTGTTTGGAGTTGAACTTTCAAAAACGAAAAATGCCTATGTATTTATTATTTATGAGTAACTTTAATATTAAATTTTATTCTTCTTACTATAAAAATGACGTACTTCTCATATAAACTCTCAACGAATATTTTATCTCCCTACGGGACAGATTTTCAAAAACGCTAAAATACGTATTTACTTATTTTTAACTAAAAGCTTGTACTATGTGAAATGGCATATTTCTAACTTTGAAAATAACAGAAAAGAATAATTGATCGTCCTTTATTTTGCCTTTTTAGATGGAAAATTTCTAAAAAAACCTTCCATAGTAGATGTTTATATCACAAAATGAATCAACAGCAAAAAGTTTTAAGTTTCTATGTAGTTTCGGCTGTGCGTTGATTACTCAATCAGGACAAACAATTTTATATGTACCTATAGATAACATACACGTACCTTGGTACAACGTCGCTCCCTTGCTGCATAAATGAACCGAGCGAAAACCAAAACGAGTTCCAAATGCTGAACTCGTTGTGTAATATTATCTAGAAAAATAATAAAAATTGAAATTTTTATATTAATTCCTAATTAAAATTAAAAATTAGAAGTATTTATTTTATAAAACTTAAAACTGTCAAACAATTTAGATCTTTCTGGGCTTATTAACCATTGCGTGGTCTTTATGTGGTGTTCCGCCAAGGCTACAAACTTTTAATAGCGAAGATGGGTAAGAAGTGCTATCCGTATATAATATGATAGATATTGTTAAAAGTTTCTTAACTACACATTATATTTTAACTGTAAGGTTAACTGAATAAACTTACGCATATTTTAGTCCATAACGCTCCACAAAATACTCGTATCGATCTGGTTAACCTTACAGTTAAAATATGATAGATAATATTTAAAAAGTGATTTTATATATATATATATATATATATATATATATATATATATATATATATATATATATATTACTATTTTAGTTAGTATAAACTATTTTTGGTATAGTCAGAAGTATGTAAAATTCTTGTTACGTATATAATATGTTATAATAATGTGTGAAAATACCTCATTGGTACTGCTAATTGGATGATCCAAGTGTGTATCTGATATCGAGACAGACCGCCATTCATGTGGGGAAAATCTAGATACAAGAAATAGTACGATGCTGACTGCAAAAAAGCTGAAGAGGACGCATAACTGTAAAGAACATTTTGATAATGAATAATTGTGCTCTTTTTAGTATAGGAATTATTCAAATGGGTTTATTACAAATGAAAAATTTATAAGATAATGAACAAAAAAATACAACCGCATTGAAAAGTTCCTCCTTTATTTGAAGTCATATCCCTAAGATAAGATTTAACAAAATTTCATGAGTAAGTCTGTTTCTTTTTTTCTCCGCAATTAGTACCCAGAATTTATTAATACGAATGAAACCATAGATGCGATAGCTAGTTTTAAATAAAAGCTACGTTAGATAATTGTCAAATATTATGAATCTAGGACAGTATTACAGTTCGGCAACAAAGTGTCATATGCAGTGTAGGAGCATGGTTTTATCGTATATGTTTGGCAACGCTCGAGGCAAGCTACCGTTATTATGAAGTCAGTTGTTATGTAGATGGAGCTCCTAACTTTTACTTACTCTGCCTTTCTACATTCACATGCCTCTATGTTATCACTAGGTTTTTTCTATAACTTCGTGCGAATGGCTTTTATACTTTTGGTACTTATAAATGGTGTATCGACTTTCACGAGCATAACCCATCTAATTTAGTGTAATAGTTTTTGGGTGATGCCGAAATAAACATACAGAAAGATAGGCAAAAATTTTAATATAACTTTGACTTTTATATATACAGCTCTTATATTAAGATCTTTAAATCATATTTTACTAAATAAATCCCAATTATCTACCGGCATCGCCTAGTTACAATTATATATATAATTTTGTTAAGTTACGAGTATATCTGTTTTGGAGAAGAAAAGAATATTGTTATGTTATAATTAGCCGTATCTTGCGGCTTTTCCCACTTAAATTAGTACATGAGGTATGCTTTGTGATAAGTTAAGATACAACCTATCCGTGACCCACATTTCATTCAATTTTGTTCAATACTTTTTCGTGTAACAGTAACAATCACCCATCCATCCATCTATTCATCTATCCTTAAGTTTACGCATTTATAATATTATAAAATATATCTTTTACTGAAATACGTACTTGTAATATTCTAAATATTAATAATGACAAATTTTTTACTACATTTTCTGTAACAGAAAAATAGTTATCTATTGTTATATATATATTTTATATAAGAATGCTTACCCATATTTCTTTAGACAGAGGTCGCAGGAAACTGAACGTGTCAGATAGTTGTTTTGGCATCCTTTTATTCATAATAGGGCTGTCAATTGATAAAAATGGTTCGCTAAAATCCACAAGTTTCTCTCGCTCCGGAGTTATAGACAGTGGTCCCAGTGCAATGTCCGCATCCTAATAAAATAAAGAATACTTAATATGGTAGCCCCATATTTACAACACCATCTTACCATTACTAAGACTATAAAAAATACTAAATCAAGAATAAATACAAAAATATCTTGAAGGAAATAAATACAAAAATGTCCTTTGCTAAAATTAGATTTACCATCAAATTTCTTCGCAAAGTTAAAGTAAACGAGTACGCGACGGCCGGGGTGCTCTAATCCTTTATAACTACAATAATACTGAAACTCAATAAACAAGGACCTTTAGGGGAGCGATTCGGTCGCGACTCCTTGAAAATTGACTGCAAAAAACTATGTACCTATAAACGTGTAACTATAACACGTCCTCTACGTGAATTAATAGAAAATTACGATCTTTAATAACGATTATTAAAAAAGAAACTTTCATAATATAAATTATTCTCTAAAGAAATGTTTTAAGTCGAGAGTAATTTTCTTGGAAGCACCCAAATTACGTTATTTATATTACGTCATAGCCATACGATAAGGGGTTTCGCGGTAACTCAAAGGAAATTATTTCACGAGTATACTTGGTATAGTCAAGAATATTACTTATCTCCTTTTATTCTTACAGGATATCTATATAAATTTCGTAAAAACATCGCTTTCATGTCGCTAAAATGTACGAAATAAAAATAGAAAAAGGTAGCGTCACAATATAATATAATATCAATGTAAAAGGAAAGATATCTAGCAAGTAAATAACAAGACAAAGCCTGCAAAGTAATGCAAAAACGTATGTAACAAAGCCAGTTATTATCAAAAAATACTAGAAGATTATGGCTGAATAAATAAAGTTAGTATCTTGTACGTTCAAGGCAAGATCCTGTTATGTCAGTCAGTAGGAAGTTCCCCTATTGCTCTCTAGCTAGATTAATTCAATGTAGTAACATTAGTTTGCTTTTTTGTTATTTAAAAGATAATTTAGTTTTAAAATTTCTATCAATAGTTACAGTTAATTTTTTTTCCGTCTTGGCAATTTGGTTATATATTTACACGCTTTTGCTTTCAGCTTGCTTTGGTATGATATTAATTCTGTTAAACACACATTCACATTTTGTTAAAAATATTTCAGTTACTCTTTAGACAGTATTAGACATGATAACGTATCATGGTAAAATTCAATCATTCAATTCTTTTGTTATTCTTTGTATATTCGTCCATTTGAGCGACTATCAACGTCGTATCGAACATTATATCAAATGAAATCAAAAATATTTTATTTGAATATTTTTATCACATTGCAAACAAACCGAAATGTATTGTACAATACAAAATAATACTAGGTATTTACTTTGAGGTATACTATTATAAGTTGTCATGCCTGTTGCCATTTCTAAAGTGTTATGCCTCTGTACCCTGTGATTTCAATACCATATCCCACAATTTAAACCGAAACACAGCCATGCAAACACAATTGCTTCGTAGCAGAAACACGAATGGGATAGAGGTAGCCAAGCAGACGATTTTTGTACAAAGTCTCTCTATGGTTCCTATTTCCCTTAGTATGAATATGAAATATTATAAGTGTGAATATAATATGTATTATCATAATATATTGTTTAGTACTGTACAAGTTAGCAAAACTTTTGTTAAAAGTATTAATTGAGAAAACTATAAATAGGTAAATGATAATAAATCCAGTTTGAAATCGAAAATATTAGCCTTGTTGTTATAGCATGTTCTACCAGTGACACTGAACATGTGTCCTGAAGGAATATGAATCAAATAATCACATAGATTATGATCGATATGATTTCAAACTTTGTGTTTATGTTTATCTATGGTATCATATTGAAATTTAACTTTTTTTTACAAAAAACTTAAATCTTTTTATTTCCATACAAAATTTCGTCCCTTACTTAATCCCACTAGGAAGTGAATAAAAAAATTCGTGCAACATTATGGTCTTCTTTTAATGAAAATATAAAATAAAAGACTAATTGATCCCACAATAAGGCAGTCTGCTAGTGTCCAATAATATTACAAATTAAAAAATAATTTATATATTTAATATTCATATATATATAATTATATAGATAAATTAAATTTAGAGTTTGTTTCATTGATAATTTCAATAAAACTTGATTACCTTTTCATTAAGTTATACTGAAACAAATTATCGACAAACTATTCTTTATTACCTTAATATAATGGAAGTACATTTTTACACTAGTTAACTATTGAAATACTATAAAAAATTTCACGTTTATAAATCTATAATTTTAAGTTATGCATTTTATATGAATTAGTTTCAACAGGTTATTACTAGACTCACATGAATTGTATTTTTTAGTGATATAATATGGCAATATACCTAAAATCGTGTACATTTATACTGCAACGCATCAGAGGGAGACTTTGTACAAAAGTCGATTGCTTGGGTACCTCTGTCTCATTCGTGTTTCTACCGTGAAGCAATTGTATTTACATGGCTGTGTTTCGGTTTGAAGGGTGGGATATGGTGTGAATTTACAGGGTACAGAGGAATAACATCTGAGTCTTCAGGAATGGCAACGCATGGGGGGTATCATGGACGAAATAGTATACTCTGTTATGTCCATGGTACTGCTCATGTCTATAGGTACGGTTACCACTTTCCATCATGTGGGCCGTCAGCTTGTTTGCCATTCTAAGTTGTTAAAAAAAAGACATATTTTCTATATTTTAGTTTGTATTATTATAAGTCCTAACTTTCTAGATACCAAGTAACATAAATGGCGTGTTTCTGTGACTTAAAAACACTCATAATATCACTATTCTACATCAGTATACTATGAAAATAACTGTAGAAATCAAATGTCACGGTATCAGTAAAATCTGTAGAACTTAATTTAACAACAAGATTTCGAACTGCATGAGTCTATTGAGTTTTGACGTCAACAGTGATTCCAAGAAAAATAGTAGAATTAATAGAATCAAGGGCTTTGTTATTCAATTTTACAGTAAGACTGGAAATGTGGTTTAGACACGTACTGGCTCAGTACATCTCGTCCGTTAACATAAACTTGCATAAACTGCATTATTTTATCCAGAAGAATAAATCCCTTTATGCAAACTTCAGTATTTGTATAACAGTGGTTAATGGAATGGTTATTTACTGTTTCCACGTCTATTTTGAAATACTAAGTTTCAATGGACAATAAATATAACATATTACTTTTGTATTGTGGATTTACTGCCTGGCTGGCTTTTAAGGTAACAAATTTGGATCAAATCGATGTGTTGTCGGATAGACGTTAAATAATACAACGGTATAGGTGTATTTAACATTTATTCGACATGATTTCAATTTGGTCCTAATTCAAATTCATCAAATATATATTATTTACACTACTGCTACTACTAGCTATATCCCACGGCTCTGCTTGATTTAATCAGTAAATAAAGTAGGCTATGTGCTAAGTTGGAACACGAAATTTTCATTAAATTTATTCCGTAGTTATTGCATCACAAAGTAACATACATCCTTCCTACGATCCTTAAAAACTTTCGCATTTATTATATTAATAGCATATAATAGTTTATTTTTCAAAACATAAATCAATAAAAAAAACACATAAAGTAGGTTCTTTTTTGAGGATATTAGGTAGGTACGTAAATTAAATTTATAATTTAATATTATAAAAAGTATCAAAAGTAGTCTACTAGTTTTTATGCTACACGGCTATGGTGTGGTCACATATCTCTCGCTTTTTTTAAATAATAATATATGGTATTTATTTGAACGGTTTTGAGTTTAGACTTTTACGTGTTAAATTTATATCGTTATTTGACATTACTTTTTTCAATAAAAGTCTTCTTAGATTGCAATATGCGTATCTAAACGTAAGAAGAAACAGCAAAAGTAGCTGAAATAATTTCTAATTACTTTAAAATTGTTATCTTGATGTATAGTTGTTTAGCACACTACGTCATCATTTAATGTTTGCAGGTTCGAACTTCGTAACTTGCACAAAGCAAATTTTGTATTTATACACGCGACCGGTTTCGAAATTCCATCTTCAAACGCATTTTAAATTAAAATAATTTGCAATTAGTACTTATATATTTTTAAGTGCACGTAGCAACAACCTAAACATAAACCACGCAAATTAATTGAAGAAATATAAGAATTAAACAGTAAATATTAAAATTGCCTTAATATTACACGTAATAATATTAATAAAATAATATTAAAAAAAATATTTACTCTTTAATACCAAAATAAAGAACAAAAGAAAGTACTGGCTATATAGCGGAGAACAAATACATTTTATGTTCGCTAGGCGAGCGTTAATCGGTCTACTTCAATATTAAATACAAATGAAAGACTCATTCACATTAGAATAAGCCATTTTCGAACAGGTTGACTAAATTCAATGATATGGATAGGCAACGATAATCCCCGTCTCTCACTCACGGACTATTAAATGTACCCAACTGCCAGCCCCCTTGCCTCTTTGGCCCGTTAATGTAATACGAAAATCCGTTGGAGCTTAATCAGGAAACGGTAAAATCTGATTCAATAAAATTTTATGATTTGCATGTTTAATGATTCTATAAAATTTATTTTGTGAAAGAATCGTCTACCTCTAATTATAATAATTGTGAATATAATGCGTATATGTTTAAATGGCTTAACATACAAAGAAACTTTGATAGATTATTAAATTATTCATTAAAAAATACTGAGTTTACTAAAGAGGTTTCTTTTGTTTGTATTTGTAATAAGTTACTACTTTAGTCTTTGAAGGAAACAATAAAGAGTATTTATCTATCTATAACGTAAAAAGTTATTTATATTTACTCATACTACAACAAAAATAAGCAATTTTCATTTGTTTATTTTTTATGTATTATTTCTTATACACTAATGTATAATAAATGTATATATAATAGTTTTTTTATTAGAAAAAGTATATACTGGTATATGGTTCATTTTCGTTATCCGGTTTTAAATTAATGAATGGTTACAAATATTCAAGTATACTTATATTAATAAGGCTTTTACAAAACCCTTATTCTATAGGAAAGTAATTAAGAAAGAAAATTCTGTAGCACGGCTCAATGAATGCAAATTCAAACAAAAAGTTTCACGCAATAATTAGCTACCGAATAGACTCACTCTGTTGTATGTTATTGTAACATAATTTAAGTAAATTCTTACATATAATGTATACGATGAAAATTAATGTTTTATAAGATAATTAATGAGATTCACTGTATATGTAAGATCACGTACCTTTCTAACAATCTCACCGACTAATTCAGTCAATCCATCCGGGGGGCTTTCGCTCTTGTATTTAGCTTCCTTAGCAACCCGTAGCTCGTCTAAGAACAATCAATTATATGTAAATTATGTTTTGAAAATAGTTTAAGCCTATAGCAACCAGACATAAGAAAATTATGGGCGGTCGAACTGTTAAATATATTGCTTCGCCTTCCAATGGAATATTCAAATTGAGAAATATATATGTTTGTAAAATTCTAGGTATTTTCTGTATAAATACATTTATAATAAAATATATTTTAATATTTCCATTTGTGTACAAATTTTATTAAGTATGAGACTAAATGACGTTTTATAATATTTACAGTGGTATATTTATTATTATTACTATTATCTATAATCTTTACGATATATTATTCCTACTATTAAATTAATAAGACTACGCGTTAGTACTAATATTAGAACTTTCTTCTAATTTATAGTGCTCACATACAAAATATGTGTAAGAATATTGATTGAAGTCATAAATTTTAAATAACCTCATTATTTAAACGATTATATTACCTTTTTAACAAGAATTTTCTTTATTTCAAATACCATTTTCATTCATCATTATATAAAGTTAGTTTAATGGCTAACTAAACTACAAATGCAAAATAATTAATTTACTTACATTTAATACCGAGTTTGCTTGTAATTAATTCTGCAAGGTCCTTACAAAATCCATAATATTCATCTTTTTGACCATACTCTGTTTGTTTCTGCATCATATATGGTTCTTGTAATACAGTTGTTATAATATATGTCTTGTTTGTGTCGTACGAAGCCGGTGATCGTAATTGGACATATTTTGGTTGTACAGGAATCAACCCGTGCATATCAGACCAAGTTGCTACCTACAGTAATGGAATATCTTTAGTAACCTATATATTATTATATAAAATAAACATGTTCAATATTTCAATAAATATATTTATAATAATTAAATAATGTCAACGCACTCACGCACACACATACAAACAATGAAAAACAATTTGTTACATTTTTCACTACAAAATAGGTGGCAGTTTTAATTGTCACAAAATTAATATCATACTAATAAAAAAATAAACTGTTATCGATTGAAAAAAGTAGGAAATTCAGCACTGGCAATAATTGCGTAGAAATCGCGATATATGCTCATTAAAACATTCAAACGAATTTGTAAATAATTTTATCACAAGCCATTAAAAAATGAGAGCCAACACTAAGTTGACAAAGAAGACATTCGTTTAATTAAGGTTGAAATAAAAAAAAAATAACTAGATATATACTACTATCAACCAAAGGTAGTTAGCTAAAATAATTTCATACATGGCTTTTATATATACGTAGAAACCAATAAAAATCAATAATTCCATGAATATTGATGAAAATATATTTTTATAAGAGGGATGTAATTAATTTTGTTCGATAAAATGATTTTCCAATAAAACGAAAACACCTACAGGAAAAACAAAGGTAAAAGCAAATTTTCAAAGTTTCTCTCCAAGTTGCGACCGGAAGAATGGCTCTAAAAGTTGGAATGCATTGATTTATGAACGCTGAAAAATCATTAGTGAGTTGTGAAACAGGAGTAGGGTGAAATAAAGTTAAAATTAACCTTTGTCGAGAATACTTGCTAACGGATGTGCGAAGTTTACCTTTGATTTAATAACATTCTTAAAAAATGGAAATTCTTTGTGGTTAAATTGCTTTTACTCGACGTTTAAAAGATTTTTTCATATAGCCAAGTATGCTCATATTTTTTTTAACAAATATAAAAAAAATATGAGCATCTCTACTGTGGCAACATCACATGCTATAGAAACAGTATTTTGTAAGCTATGGTGTAAAAATCATTGGGTCCTTTTTCGAAATGTTCTCAGTTATTTATATTTATATATAGAGAAGATAATAAAATATTTTTTTTTTTCATAAAAACCTTCAACATAGCACTCTGAACGGTCATTTCGACAACTTGCAATGTAAAATTGAAACGATGTCCCTCTTCATTGAAAGAAATATTTCCAGTCAGCCCTTCTATGTCAGTCTGCAAAAAAATAAAGTATTAAAGAATATTGAATTTTAAACATATACAATTAGTACAAACATTGGAATAACATTTTTGTTTTAGCCGCCTAGGGAATATTTACAAAATATGCCCGTAATAGTGAAACATTTGAAATAAAATATTATATCAACCTAACTAGCTAGTATGATAATTGTACTAGGCAAATATTTGTTCTTCTCTTATTATGGTATACTTAACAATATTAAAAATTGACAATATTTTTTTTTTATTTCTCTTCAAACTGGCATATTCTACAGAATTATACTAGTTATCTAAAATTAAACATAGTTATTGAATAGTTAATACTATTATACACTTTGTGAATGTATATCAGTGTACCTTTTTGATCAACCTAGATATTTTATCGCCATGTTCAAAGGGGACTACCCAACTTTTTCCCGGGTTACAATCGATCACTTTCGTCGAGTTAGCCTGTCCTGCGGCGCGTCTTAAAGCACTTCTAAAAGCATCTGGCTTTTTTCTCCAGAGTCTTCCAAGAGCATCCATTAAGACTTGTACTCCGTCGTACATGAGAGCGGTTTGAGCCTATAGAACAATATAAGAAAGCACTTTAATGTTATACAAATAAGAGCTCATTTAAATCTGTAAAAGTATTGTGCGTACGGTAAAATTGTAAATATCAATTTGTTATTTTAAACGGTTCTGAGAAACAATTTTGCTTACAATGAGAACTAACAAGGTTCCGAAATTTGAATACACTCGCAATTAATATGTATTTTTATATACATTATTGAGGGGACATTTAAAAAAATTCATGTTTTTGTGTGTATTACTCTTTTATTTTATTGTGTTTCCTTATATTGTTTTAAAATTATATTAATAAACATTTGATATTTCTATAAATAAGCAGAATTTTAATGTACATTCATAGATAGTTAAAGTAAAACTTGTAGAAAGTTTTATTTAGGATAATAAAATATTCTCGACGTTTTAGGTCCAGTCACAATAAATAGCCTTCGTAATTTACTCTGCAACATAAGAGAAATTTTGGACTAATTGTACAACAAGGGACAGTTTATGTGTCTTTTCACGCACAAACCGTCTAAAATAGAACACTTGAAACAATAATACAGTGAGCATGAGCAATGCAATAAATGATTCAGACAATATCTCCACATTTATCGTGCACATCACATTCGCGTTAACAACTGTGATGAGTTAACTTTACTTGGAAACAATTCCCCTGCGTACATGCCCCGAAACGAAAAAGGCCTAAGTGTATTTACTCAGAGAAGGGAGATCATATGGAATAATAATTTATGCAGGAGTGCGGTACCCACGGTTTCATTAGAGTGTACGTGAGTTAGTGAAATCTACATAAACGGGTTATTATTCCACGTCAAAATTTTCTTCGTGAGATGCCAATTTTACCACCTCACGCGGTACTTTATTCCCTACGTTAGATTGTCATAAAATTTTACTGATATTATGTAAGGTATAAGATTTATTATTTTTGTTCTTAGTGCGCATATCGGTATTTTCGTGGTGACTGTCGTATAAAAAGAGTCATCAATAGATGTTATCGATAATGAAAATTTACATTTTTGTGGCTTGAACGAAAGACAAACAGTAGCATACACGGGTGGAGAAACGTGAAGAGAATGATATCTATGCCATCTATCGTCGCAAAATACTGGTTATAAATCATGATGTAAAAGGTATCTAACTTGAATTTCTTCCTGTTAACCGTTGATAGCTTGTGATTTTTTTACGAAATGATAGGAATCATAGATAATATGATATTAACAAACACGTACAAAAATATCACATATAAATGACTAATTTGAATTTATAAATATAACGAACTACATTTGTTACATAAATCGAAAGAAATGTATAAAATATTAATATAACATATTCAAGAAATAGCTACGGTTAATTATTATTATTTATTAAGTATTATAATAATTCAATAAAGATGATACTTTACAAGAAGAAAATATACAAAGAACTGTTTCGTTACATTAAAAGAATTCAATTACTGCTATGTTCGAATATAGCCTCGCGAAAGGTAGGGGAATAATATATACATATAAATGTACAAGTACGGCCATATAAAGATGAGAGCCTGTTCTAATGACATAAGGGAATATTCTTTTGCATTATATTATAGAATTAGGTTGATTAAACAGTTTATTGATTGCGTGAACAATTTCTGAAATCCTTCAAAAATAGTTAAACGAAATATTGTATAGAAATTTAGTCAAACAGATCCTGGTATTTTGAACTGTTTATTTATAAACCAACTGTGGGTAGTAGTGAAGAAAAACTCATATAAAGCCAATGACAATACCAAAAGTTCTAGTTTATTAATAAAATATCATTTAACTATTTTTACCGATACTAAGAAAAAGAAATAAGTACCTACGTAACTACGTTTTATTTTCATGCCTAATAAAAATGTACTTAATAAAAAAATATACGAATATATATTTGATATTACTAGATAACCATAATTATGTAGGTGGTAACTGCACTATGCAGTAATGAAAGCAGAATACTTACCGATATGGTCCCCTTGAAACGGCTGTCCATCCGACGCAAACCGTCCATGAAATCGCGCACAATCTTGCGCGAGTGGTCGACAATGCGGAACCCTGTTATATTGACTGCCCCATACTCTGTGACTTCATTCTCCCAGTGATCGTCCATAACCTGTTAATGAATAAACGGTATATACAGGTTGAATTGGGAATAATTGGTATCCTTACAAAGGATGATTATGTTTCACCAGTGAAACTGAATATTTTCGAAAAGGAACAAAGAGTATCTTTGTAGTATTTTATAAAGTATTTAGTAAGAGTATTTTAGGTAGAGCAAAAACATTAAATTTTCAACCCATATATATATACTTCAAAGTATTTCGATAACCCATATTAAACTTCACAGAGATATAGTATCGTGACTTTACCAGTTGGAAATCATTGAAACAATTTCCTCATGGTTAGATCTAATAGTACTTGTGACTATATTCACTAAATTAATTAAGATAGCACAGTCATTCAATTCAATTCTACCTCTAATGCTTACACTGTCTCTTTACATTATTAACATTGCATTTGCTTTATTAAATTACCATCAGAGGATATTATTCATATCTTCCATTTAATATCTACTAATGGTAGAATTATTTTACATAGAAAGTCATCGTTTGATCTTACTTTTTTTTTATTTTTCCTCTGTATTTATGTATAGCTGAACTATAAAGATAGTTCGAGTTGATAATGGGTTTTTCGATTGTACATTGAAATGTAACAGAGCGTTTAATAAAGGTTACCGTAAACATATTTATAATTGGAAAGTTCATTGTTGTATGAATACGGATAAAAATCGTGCCCCATTATTATGTACTACAATATCAACATCAACAGATCGCTGTTTTGCTTATTTACCGGATAAATATTTTATTATCTAGGACAAATACTATTACTTACATTTCTTAAGAAACATTTACCTTATCATGTTAAATAAATTAAGTTTCGATAAATTAATTTAATGTAAATAAACCATAACCAATGACAACTCATTATCACCCCTCTATTGGGCATAGGTCTTTCCCTACAAGAGATCCTCCTCTTTTAACTACCATTGCAGTAAACTCTCAGTTTGTTTGGCATTCCAAATTGCATAAAAATTCGTATTCCTATTTAAGTATACAATGAAAAATTATGTAAGTCTATGAGTTGTTTCTGACACAAACTGATTCACACAAAAGTGGAAAAGTCGGACTGTTTTTGGCGAGATGTTTATAAAGATACTACTTGAATATTAGGAATCTAAGTTTTAATAATAACACATTATACCGTACATTATGCCATACAGACTAATAGCCCGCTTGATAGAAAGTGGTAACTATTAATTATAGACATGAACAGCACCATGGACTTCACATAATAATAAACGGTGATACCCATGACATCCATCATGCGATACTGATAACAATCATTATCATCATCAAACCATCTGTTAGCTGTCCACTGCTGAACATAAGCCTCCCCCTTTTCCTCAAATGCCTCAGGGAGTTTTGCCAGTAGTGCCATGCTTGACAAGCGGGTTGACAACCGCTTCGACAATGTTTAAAGTAAAAGCCATGTAGGTCCTGGCATAGAATAGGCCACTCTTGCCTTTTCCGTGTACGTCGTAAGACGCAATTAAGGTAGTTTATAGTCGAGGGATAGGCAGCAGCATCCCTTTAAGCTAATCTGCAGTCCCCGACTCGTCTGCCAAGCATGGCAAAACCCCCCTTATGGGGAAGTCTATGTTACGTTTTACGCTGCTGCCCATCCCTCGATCGAGACCTTTAATCGCCTCTTACGACACCCTCAGGAAAGAAAGGGGTAACCTATTATATACCGGGACCACACGGCAACCAATATACAGTATATACCAGTACTTACATACATACATTTTGTCCAATGGTCGTAGTGTTCCAAAGTTGGGCCGTTTTTAGTGAACTGTTTTTACAGACTACCAAGTTATTATTAATCTAAACTTTAATAATATCATAATACACAACAGTGACATACATACCAGTCCACTAAGCATGTAATGGTAAGTTCGCCGGCCAAGTTGCACTTTCCTAACGTGGCCCAATAAAATGCTCTTGGCGTTTTTAGTGTTGCAATCGAGTACGATGCGCTTGTTGCCCCAACGGTCGTGTTGTTCCAGAGTCAGCAAGAATTCCATTGCGTCTGATGCATTATTGATACGTTTCACCATAGAGATTCGGAACGCAGTGCGGCCTGGTTGCATCGATTGGTATAATTGCTGTAGACGCAGCAATCCTGATAGAAAAATATAACTATTAATATTTATTGACAAATAGACATTTAGTTATTATTTATTGCGAATTGTAACGGAAATTTATATAAATTAACAATGTACTCCACAAAATAAATCGACTTTAGTTACGGCAATATCAGTTATTTTGATTTAGAAACTAAACTACTGAACCGATTTTGATATTATTTTTATGGAACTAATCTGTAAATATGTCCTTAAAATAAAAAATATATCGATTTATAACTGACGCAGTGATTAGGTAACAAAAAATATAACCGAATTGAACATGTACCTCCTTTTAGAAATCGGTTTAAAAATACGAAAATCATATTTCAGTAGAAGCCTGTTTTTTTTTCAATTTTTTTTGTTTATTGAATTACGTGAATTATATCCATTTAAATATTTATAAAATATTTCGTTAAGAATTCTCAATATAATTAAAAATGTGTGGGTTAAATAAATTTATAGTTGCTTATCCAGATATTTTTAAATTAAATATAATCAAAATAGTCATACTAAATATCTTATATTATAAGAATAAATAAGTCTTCGTAAATAGCAATACAAAGATATATTTAATTAGTTTATTTAGTCTAAAACTAAAAATAGAAGATTCGTTGTGGAGATTTTTATAATTTATTTACATTACATTTATATTAAATTACATAACACTTATATTTAATTAATATTTTTCAATACAACGATGTTCTTTAATGTCAAATTTGTATACATAACAACTAAAAAATGTAGTGTTGGATAAAGTTTATATACCTACCTGCTGCCAAATATAACTCCATTTTATACTAGTTGACTATAACCGAATCAAATACGACTGCGTGAGGAAAATATAAAAGTTGTAATATAACATTGACATCGCCACAAGCATTTATGTGCCCATCTATTTTTCAGCTCTCCTAAACCAATTCGAGTCCACACGAATTTTATCGAATTAAACGCCCCATATAAAACAAGCGAAACGAAAAAGGGACAAAGCGTGGTCGGAAGGAGCAAAAAATAAAAACTCTTTTGCACTTCGTAAAAAGGAGGCCTAAGAAAGGATGTACAATATTAAAATGTAAATCTACGTATCTAATTAGTACATAGAATTGAATATCTTTGTTGAGTTATTCGTAGGTATTCACAATAGTAACAATATACTGTGTTCCGGCCGGGTTTTGCCGTTGGGTAGATTGATTTTTTAAAATAATATATAGTCTATATTACTCATTGATAATGTGGTTGTCTATATGTGAAAGAATTTTTAAAATTGACTGAGTAGTTTTTGAGTTTATCCATTACAAATAAATGATCAAACAATCAAATCGATTCCACTTTATAATATTAAAGTAGATTATCAAAATAAAAGCAATTTCAGCCAATAAAAGCAATTCCCTTTCAAAAATTTGATTCTTGCAGATAAGAAATCAAATATAATTAAAGTCATAATATAGATAGGAAGCGTTTTATTCTAAACAGTGATTGATTTATTCTGAATCATGCCAACTCCCCCTCCCCTACCCATCCCCCATACACATACTCTCCGATCCCCCGATACACGCACTCACCTATCAGTTGTTAAACTATTTGTATTAAGTGGTGTTAATAATATATGCTTCTATATATTAAAGTTCTAAGACTATGATCCTATAAATATAAAATTATTTACATGAATTTGATGACACACTTAAAATGTGTACATTTGTTATAAGCTATATAGATAAGTACGAATAGATATTTTTATTATATGTAATATAAAAATATTTTATTACCTCATCTAAAATTGTTTAAAATTCTATATCATAATTGATTTAAAGACTGAACGTAGCAGTTGTTTTACTTATTTTGTGCAGTTTATGCACAAAATAAACAACCACATCGCAAATGTAAAACTTTGTGAGGACGGTTGGACGTTTGTTAATCTTTCACATAAAAATTACTGAACGTTAGAATGAAATTTGTATATAATAAATTTGTAGATAAGTAATATCTTTAAAAGATAGGATACTTTATATAAAAATTCACATTGACAAAACCGCGTGGTACAGAACATCGATTATACTTATAGACATGTTCGAAGTGTAATTACATAAATATTGCACATTTGTAGAAATATTAAAATATACAATGACAAATAATTCAAGTAAAATTCAGTAACAGAAATTACAGTTTAAAATATATATATATTTTATCTTTGTAGGTCGTAAATATCAAAATAAATTTTCTGTTGATTTCAAAAAAGAGGGTGAATATTGATAAACAAATACCAGCAGAAAATACTAGGTAAATTTTCACGCAAAATTTTAATTCCATTATTTTTTTTATATCACTACCTATGTTACACGATATCTTCGCCAATTGTGAACAAACAGAATGTATTATTTTTTATTTAATGAATAAGAGATTATTTTCAGGATGGTTCTTTACTAATTTGTTAAAATTTACGTCGATTTTTTGTAAAAAAATATTTAATTATTTTAAACAAATAAATATTCATGACTGTAATTCCAAATAGGATAAATCAGAGACATTTGTCTACTGTTTCTATCGTAAATGTATCGCTATCGATATCCCCACACTTCGCTGACATATTAGAATCCAATATGGAGGGGGGCGAGTCTATTGGCGTACTCTGGATAAATTTGGTTTCTTATTTACCGTTGCCTGGCATGGTTTTGTATGATTTTACCGACTAGATGCAATATAATAACAAATTATACGAAATTATCATCAGATAAGCCGCAATAAACAAGTAAAAAAAATACATGCAAATGCTTTAAAATATCTGTACACGCCATCATATCGTCATACTGTTTCCGATAACGTTGAAAAATAAACTAAAATCGAAATTAATACATTTAAACCTTATATTATATCATTATGGTGATATCGTGCAATGTCGAGGTAAATTACAAAATTGTCCATTGAATTCTACTTGGATAGATAGATATATCCCCCTTTTTTACATTTCGGTCAATGGATAAAGATACACTGAATTTTACGAGTAAAAATTGAGTGATTGAGGATTGTAAATGGCTCCTCTGAACAGCGATAGACGCACGCGGGGTCGCCGGGATCGCACAAGACGTGATCAGAATATCTAAGAAGCGAGGGCGATCATAAGATTTATTCCCTGTTGATATTTTCTATAACAACAGTCTAGGGGTCGACATGCGCATATTATAATACAAAATGAAATCTCTTTTAATAACATCTTTTTAAAGAAACGTAATATAAATGAAATTTAATATTTTTTTCAAAGAACAATTTTCCCTAGTCCAAAAACGTGGCTGTTAAATTAGTGTGCGAAAATCTAAGTCTTTTGTCGATTTTAATTCTATGTTCATTGTAACCTAAACACACCTACTTCATTACATCCAGGTATTTAACTGCAAAAGTATGATGAAGACAGAGGTGTGCAAACAGATAAATTTATACAAAAGTTCTGCCTTTAAGTAAACAAGGTAAGTATTATACCTACTTGAGTTGCTAAGCATCTAAGCCAGTTAATACCCGCAATAAAGGGATGGAAGGAAGCTCATTAATGATCTTGAGCGGTAAATAAAATAAAAAATACGAAAAATTTGTTGTTTGTGTATTTTTTAATTCCAAGAGTAAATATATTCTGCCCCTCTAATAACAATAATAAGGAAAGAGTTTTAGTGCAGTATACCAAAATATATGTATACAGTAAAATCATAGAAAGGACAATGTGTACTGTACTTTTTTATAATATTATTATTTTTTTTATTTTTATTAGGCTTTTACATTCTTCAAGTATATCAACCCTATCGTACCCTAAACTGATTTCTCAAATAAAGCTTTATCTACTTTCCCTAGACACGGAAAGAGAAAAATTAATGGGCATCAATAATTTACAGAGATGTTCAAAAATTGCAAATTTTTTTTATGAATAATGCCCAGATCGAAGACTAACAGATAATTTAATATTATATCTATTATAGTTTATGTGAGAAATATGTTAATTTCACATTACTGTCAGTTTTCTCATATTGGGTTTGCTGGAAGAAATCTCTTTTGGAGACTCGCCTTTGTGCACTATTAACATATGTTTGTTTTTCCATTTCAATAAGCTTTTGTGTATAATAAAGAATAATGAAAGAATAAAATAATTAAAGTAAATTCAGTAGTTTACACAAGAGTAATAAATAGACTTCATTTCAAATTTAACTTTGTAAAGAGATTGTAACGATAAGTAAAATTGTAATCTAAAGTCCAAATCCAAATCAGAATAACGATTTGAAAATATTAAAGCAATATAAAAAGCTTATCGGATTAGATGATTTTGTATTGAAAAATAAAACATTATTCTTGTTAATAACGGGACCAACAAAGCAGTAAAATAATAAAAATACATTTCCTTTTTTATAGGAATAAAAATATTACAACACGGTAAACAGTTTTTTATAGTGTATAAATCTAAGAGTCTAAGGACTAAATTATTTTCATGACAAATTTCATTATTCAGCAACTTTTGCATGTTACTTGAATAGACTCGCTATTTTACTGTTACATTACTATCCATGTGAAGGTGTCACTCATTGATTTCATGAGTTTCTAGGCCGCTTTCGTTTTACACGAACGCCTCTCTCGTGGCTTAGCGGATGATAGCTTTACTTGTATAAACACGAAGTAGATGGCAATCAATGCACTAATATCCTAATCTCACCCGATGGATCGCCTTCGGAATCAAACCCGTCGCTTGGCGACGCGAGAACACGACTGCATAGTGCTACACATCGGCCTCAGCATCGCAGCGTCGCCGACCGCACATGCGTTGCGATAGACGACGTGTTGGTCACCCAGTGCTGCTCGCGGCTCAGCCGCGTACCGCACTCATGAATAAGGGCTCCTATTGAGTTCGAAACTAGTTGGGCACCCCCAAATTTTTAATGTGAGAATAGTCAACATAAAAAAAAAATCATTCTATACTGAAAAATTTAAATATTTTAAATTTCTCACCACTTAATATCTTTATTCTATA